TTGTTCTCAAAGAACAAACTTCGACCTGATTTAGCTCTAAACATCAAATAACTAGTCTTTTCAGAAGACATTTTAAGGTAAAAAATGCAATGTTCAACGTTCAAACTTTTGTGAAAACCGGCGATCAGCCCGACCAGCGAAAAGTTTTTTACTCCAATATTTGGCGTTTTATAAGTTCATATCCAGAGTATTTTTGTACTTACAGCTGGTAAATGTATTCAAAGTGTTACTAATAACTAAGGCGTATTATTCTAATGCTTTGCTATAGGTGTCTAGTTACTAATAATTACTAACCATTATATCTTTAATTTACTAATATTTTTAATGATAGGTTGTTTTTCATCCCTTCCTCTTATTCGCTTATTTGAATAATGTAACCGTTTAAAAATTTGTATATATATAATGCACGCTTGTAAATATGTTTAATTCTCTGAAGATGTTGTGAACAATACAACGAAACGTTAGCCAATTAATTTTATATTTTTGTTATGTCTTGTCTGAAAGTCATTTGCTGGGCCTTAATTTTCATTTTTAAATTATGCTTTCCACCCGGTGTATCAATCGCTGCTGTTTTAAACAGCAAAGGTATTCAGTGAAACAGCATCATGCGCCGGCTCAAACTGTTTTAACTTGTCAATAACAACATGAAAACACACAAGTTACGACTGAAAACGAATATAAAACTATGTAGAAAAGCCAAAAAGTTCATACATGTCACACATATCTTATACCAAACGACCGACAATCACCTGTTTTCTTGGCGTTATCCCGAGTTAGCATGCAAAACTAAATTTATTTGCAAGCAAGAAAAAGAAAACACAACATATATTTGATATTTCGACGAGACTAAAAACTTTTTCGTACGTGTTTTTCTGGAGATGCGCCTGCGAAAACATGTACGCGCATGTTAATTCATTGATCTTGCAGAGTGTGAAAAACTTTGGCCGCGCGAAATAAAATCGTGATTATTTCAACAACGAGTTCGATAAGGTACCCTGAGAATTTGTACATGAGTAGATAGTACATACTTCAAGATTTCATGATGGAAAAATAAAAAAAAAATTGTCGACAGAAAGTGTCAAAAAAGTCGAAATTTAATTCTAAAGAATTAAGTCGACAGATTTTTTTAAACTTCCCAGAAATGTTTCTCGACACAACTAACATAACATAACTGGTTTATTAAAAAAAATTGGGGTCACCGAACTCATTTTTGAAGAAAAAACTCGAAAAACTGCGATATTTTCGGCTATTTATTGTTACCATTATTCGTTATAGTTGTCATGGAAACGCGACTTTTATCAGAATTCTTCTTGTTTGCGACACGTCTTACTATGTGTTACAATTATAAGTAAAACTTAACCCTGTAAAAGCATTTAAACAGAAAATATTCAACTTTTGCTCCTTTGGCCAAAAAGTGTAATTGCCAAATAAATTGCATTGTTTAAAGGTGATTTTGCTTTCGGAAATAGGTTAACACCATATATTGTTGCTTCTTTTGCTTTTAGAGGAATAGTATGTGCTTTAATTTGTTCATTTTTTCTTCGATGATTTCTTTGCAAGTGGATTTTCGGCAGCCATTTTGTTTTGAAAGCCATTTTTTCAATACTGAATTTATAGTAAAATTATATAGTCTCTGGGTTTCTATAGTAAAATTATATAGTCCCTGGTTTTTAGTGTGAAGTTTCACTTCACACTATTGTGGTGGCTGGCGAATTCACACGAATCAGTCAGTCAGTCAGTCAGTCAGTCAAACAGTCAGTCAGTCAGTCATAGAGTAAACTTTCCGGGGGGTGTATACGATTTATGTTCGTAGTGATTTATTGTACTTAGTCAGTACTTTGAAGGTTATTTAGGCAATTTCAGTTAACTTATTTACATATTCTGTTATCCTTTTGCCAAGTTCACAACAATTTCGAGGAATCGCTTTCGTTATTGTAATTTTTTGTAAATTTTAGAACATTCGCTTCTCATGTTGTGTAAAGGATCTTTACCCCGGAACACCCGATTTTTTCTTTAGTAGCGCAAATGCGCATGCGCTATCAAGACGTAGATCACGATGGCGTGACGATATGCTAGGAAGGGGTGACAGTGTTGTTTTCAAATGTATAAAGATTTCAGACGTGAATATGGAGTAAATCTTTGAAAATCTACGCAATATATAAATTGATCTTATGCATTACGGGCGTTCAATTAAATGCCGATAATATTTAGACGGTATATTCATTATACAGAGCTAGGAAAGGAGCTAGACCGCCTAGACAGTGCAGTCAAGTGTGTAAACATTTCAGACGTAAATATTGAGTCGAATATCTTGATTCTAGGCATTCATTTGAGTGCCGATATTATTTTAACGGTATTCTCATTATACAGAGGTACAGTACGTAGGCAGAAGCGAGACAGTGTTGTTTTCAAGTATATAAAGATTTCAGACGTGAATATTGAGTAAATCTTTGAAAATCTACACAATATATAAATTGATCTTATATGCATTACGGGCGTTCAATTTAATAAGTGCCGATAATATTTAGAAAGTATATTCATTATACAGAGCTAGGAAGGAGCTAGACCGCCTAGACAGTGCAGTTATAAAGTGTATAAACATTTCAGACGTAAATATTGAGTCGAAAATCTTGCTTCTAGGCATTCAATTGAGTGCCGATATTATTTTTTACGGCATACTCATTATACAGAGGTACAGTACGTGCAGGCAGAAGCGAGACAGTGTTGTTTTCAAGTATATAAACATTTCAGACATGAATATTGGGAAAATCTTTGAGATTCTACGCAATAATAGTAATACAATATATAAATTGATGTTATGCATTACCGTCGATATTATTTAGACCGTGTATCATTATATATTCTCATTGACTGTATAAGGTGCTACATCACAGAATAGATGGCTATACTCAGTACAAAGAGCGAAAAATTGCATCAGATTTGTATCAGATCAATAAAGCATAAGCAACTATTAAACAGAAGCGGGTAAACGTTTGTACGGCGTTTACGAAGAAAAAAACTTACGAGACTAAAGGAATCAGTTGAGTCAGAGCTCCTTGTATAAATAAGAAAGACGAGGAGATAGCCAACGTGTTTATGTGTTATCGCCAACGTGTTATCGCTAATTATCGCTTAATTGGCTCGCCAACAAGCTTTATGCAATAGAAGAAAAAAGCAAGGAGGTACATGTAGCCAACGTGTACATTCACGGACCTTGTCCTTGACTACCTTGAGCCTTGTCTTTGTTTAATACTGTCTAGTGTCTAGCACAACGCCGTTGTCAACGGTGCAAACTCGTATTCAGTGCAACGATAACTCTACCAGATCTTACGAGAATCAATCTGTAGTATTCTGTACACAGAACTGTATCAAAGCTTGTCAAAAATGTTTTAAACACTGCTATATCTGTGAAACTATTGAAATCTAAAGTGATATTTATATTCAACACATGCGAAAAGCTGAAAATAGATCACGTCACACTGGGAAAAGTCAAAGGTCAATGAAACTTGTTATTGTGAAACATGTCACAATTAAGTTAAAATGCGGAAGCGGGTGGAGCGGATCCACGGAACGGATATGCGGATAAAATACGGAACGGATGAGGATAAAATGCGTCTTTTAATGATGTAACGACGTAGTGTTTATTATTCATAACATATCTTATACAGCTATTTCAATTACAGTTTATTAGATAAATTTAGCATAGCAGTAGCCTCGTGGGGATGCTTTCAGCGACAGCTGCAAATGCAAATGAAAAATTTGGAATATGCAAAATTTGGTTGTCGGTGACACAATAAATAGATGAATTGCATCAGTTTCACAAGGCACGTTTCTGATTTGTTAGGCTTGTTTCAAACGTCACGCTACTCGTGTGCCGAGCGTATTAAAAGCAATAAATAATGAGATGAAATGCCTTTGGTAACTGTTTATTTCGTAGTGTAAGCCATCAAGCTTTTCTAGGTTGTCGGCGACCCTATATAGTTCTTGCAGTGTCTTTTTAAATTTGAAACTTCACACTATCCTTGGATCCCTAGTTATAAATATTTATTATTATATACGAGCTTTCGACTGCCAGTCTGTGGTCTTCAACGGGTGGATTACAATGAGAGTGTGGCAATTAAAACGGTTTACAATTGCATGCAGCGTGCCATGATTCAAGTGTTTCTTTGCGCCGATTGAGCGGATAGTTGCCTTTGTCAATTATTTTCCCGCTGTTAAAATCTATTTTATGGTTGTTTGGCCAAGCGTCTTTAGCAAAATTTCGATCACATTTACAGAGTTCTACTACATTTCTCATTATGTAGCTCCATGAGCAATCTGCACAGTTGATCTTGTCGATCAGGACAGTCTAATCCTTCGGTGATGATACCGTATGTCTTTAGCAGAAGGAAATGACTGTTCTAGAGTGTGTAAGGGTTTTGTTGTGATTCGGATGTCCTTGGGTTTTAGGGGGCTTTGAATGGTCCTGTTAGACATTTCATATAGGAGATAGGGAAGGACAGCGTAACTGTAGCTATACTGCGCCGGGCTCTACGAGATCAAAAACTATTTTATATGACTCCTCATGCAGGCTCATGCAGGTGACAGTGCTTTTTCTTGTCTCATTGCTCGTTTCCTTTCAACCTCTTGCAAGAATTTCCTGGGGTATCCATTCAACAATAAAGCATCAGTTATGTGTTTGTTATGTCTGTTGTTTCCTCTCAATGGTGTTGGGTAAAATGTTGGTGCTCTGTGTAGTAGAGTTCATGCAGTGCTGACTTTGTGCTGTTTGTCTTGGTGTGAATTATAGTTTAAGTATTTGTCCCTGTGTGTACGTTTCTGTAAACAGAGTCGTAGTAGTGAGGATAAAGAAGAGTGTAGTATAGCATTTGTTGACATCATTTCATATTTTTCCCAAAAATTGTTGAGTGGAGGGGGGAGATCGCAAATTTTTTTCCGGACATATTGTAATTTGATGCTTGTGATGTTGATCCACACCGGGCAAGCTTGAAAAATATGCCTGGCCACGGTGGGAATCAAACCTACGACCTTTGGAATACTATTCCAATGCTCTGCCAACTGAGCTACGCGGTCAGGTCGGTTCGAGTATGCGATATTTCGGAACTGAGTCTAGTTCCTTCGATATCAATGTAATCTAATAATCATGATTTTTCTGTGTTGGTGTTATGTACTCAGGTGAATATATGATGTTTGTGATGTTACTATGAGTGTATATCCACACCAGGCAAGCTTGAAAAATATGCCTGGCCACGGTGGGCATCAAACCTACGACCTTTGGAATACTATAGCCCAATGCTCTGCCAACCGAGCTACGTGGCCAGGCATATTGCCCGGTGTTATATCTTCAAAATCGTTATTTATTTCAACGTACCTAAAACATAAAACTTACACACATGTGCTCACTTCCAAAATCCCCCTACTCCCTGATGCAACGTTCAATACTTCATGTAACACCAACATAACATCTCCCTCTTTCACTCACAACAAATAGTTCTAAGTGAATCTGGTAATGTGAACTAAAACCTGTAGTCCATGCTACGATTGATAACACAACTAAGTATACAAATAACTATCAGAGTTATTTACCGTCCATAAAAATCTAGCGGTACGCCTCTGTTTGCTCTTAAAGGATGCCTATTTCAATTATGTCTTGATCATTGTCCTGTCCTGCTTGTGGGGCCGCCATGGGTATATCATCTTCTGACTCAGGATTTGGAACAGTTTCTCCATACGCTCCACTAAATTTCTTAAAATGCGAAACGTTTCTTGTAATCACATGATCACCCCTTTGCGCTGTTACTCTGGAATATCGCACATTGATAACTTTGTATGGTTGAGGACGAAACATGGTTGTATACTTGTTCTTCTTTTTCTGTTTCACCAACACTGTATCTCCTTCCTTTATCGATGACTTTCGTGTACGTCTTCTGGCATCTACATATTGTTTTGACTTAGCCTTTCCTTTCAAAACCCTTTCTGCAGCTGTATTGGCAGGTGCCTGAGAGAAAGACGGAACGGTAGATCGAATTACTCGTTTGTAAAGCATCTCGGCTGCCGCCACACCTGTAGATAGGTGGGGCGTAGTACGATAATTCATCAAAAATGCGAATAATTCTCTTTGCCAATCTCGACCCTCTGCCCAAGCCGCTCGAATAGCTTTACCCACAGGTTTCATAAAGCCTTCCACTTTTCCATTGGCCTGGGGCCATAAAGGTGTTACACGGTGATGGTGGATGCCTTGTGTTGTGAAATAGTCCTTAACTTCCTTGGACTGGAACGGGTCGCCATTATCGCTCCTAATTGTGTCTGGCAGTCCGTGGCGGGCAAAAACTTTTTCAAACGCTTGTATTGTATGAAAAGCTGTGGTTTTATTCATAATCTCAACTTTTGAGAATCCGGTTGTTTCATCTAACATCACCAATAGATGCTCTCCATAGAAATCAACATGAATACATGACTATGGTGCCATTGGAGATGGGACAACTGCTAGAGGTGGAGGGGGTTCAGGACTACCAGATATTTGGCACGTCAAACACTCCTTTTACATGTTGCTCTGCTTCTTTATCTAATCTAGGCCACCATACCTTGGTTCTCAAATTTTGTTTGGTCTTGACAATTCCCAATTCCCAAGTGTACCCTGTGTGCCAGGGCTAGAGTTCTATTTCGAAGTGATATTGGTATAATCATCAGTCGGTGTCCTCTCAACAGTACACCCCTTACTGATGTTATTTCATGCCGTACTGCAAAATAAGCTGATATGGATTTGTCTTTCCAGTTGCCAAACTGAAGTGCTCGTCCAACTGACTGCAGTTCTTTATCGTTCTTTGTCGCTTCATGCACCTCTGACAAGGTAATTGTTCTGGGAATGGCTTGCTCTGTTATAAAGTTAATATATTCTTCGGCAATAGACTGTCCCGAGGGCTCGTTAATTGGTGCCCGCGAAAGGAAATCTGCCAGATTCCCTGTGCCTGGACGATACTTGACCGTGTAGTTATACTGCTGGAGGCGCAATGCCCATCTCTGTATTCGAGCAGATTGTTTGGCCTTCGCTGAGTAAAGGATTTCTAACGCTTGATGATCTGTATACAAGGTAAACTGACAACCAACTAAATATAAATGAAATTTCTCGCATGCCCACACACATGCCAACGCTTCTCGTTCTGTCTGACTGTACCGCTGTTCAACTACTGTTAGTGCTCTAGTGGCAAAAGCAATCACTTTCAAAATGCCCTGTTCGTCATATTGAACCAAAATAGCCCCTAGGCCTACAGGACTAGCATCCACAACAACACTCGTTGATCTGTTAGGGTCATAATAGGCCAACGTACACTGTTCAGATAGCGAAGATTTAACCTGATCAAAGGCCTCTTGATGACTAGCGTCCCATGTCCATGGAACCTTTTTGCGATCC